ACGAACTTAAATAAGAAAATTTAGACAGCCTAGTAGCATTAAGTGGATTAACAGAAGAGTTAGGATGCGAAGGGTTCGCTTAGGGAGGCAACTAACCTTTAAAGCAACTGGCAACTAGCCTTTTCATGTATTGTCTGTTTATTTTGATTATTGCTTTAAAATATCAATTTGGTATATGTGTGAAAGAATGAATCAGTGGGAGATGGATTGTCGGTTTCTTTACATTTAGCATCACTATGTGTCATTTCCTCAAAACCCCCAATAACCGGCCTCTTTAATCCCTTCCTTTTCCCATGGACTATTCAGCCACTACCCGTCCTTTATCCTCGGCTTTGGATTGACTTGCGCTCCCATTGCCCCACCAAACGCTGCAAAATGAAAATGAAAATTAAAAATGAAATAGTTGTATTTTTTCTGATAGTCAAGCAGAGCTGAAAGCACTAAGTGCTTACAAATGTACATCAAAGATCGTCTGGGACTGTATTCTCTCGCTTCGGCAACTGTGCCAACAGAACTCAGTAAACTTATATTGGATTCCTGGACACTACTGTGGCATTGAAGGGAATGAAAGGGGGAACCTAGCAAAGTTAGGTTCCAATTCACAGTTTTTTTTTGGCCCAGAACTATACTGTGGAATATCATACTGTTCGGTAAAAATGGAACTGATGCCAATTGGACGAGTGTCACAAGCTGAAACCAGTCGAAAAGATTTATAACTCCTAATATAACATACACCAAAAAGCTCTTAGAGCTCAATAAAAGAGTTCTTAGTATATACACTGGCCTAGTAACTGGGCACTGTTCTAGTAGATATCACATGAAGAACATTGGTCGGGTTCAAAGTGATGTCTGTCGTTTCTGTAATTTGGAACGTGAAACCTCGGAACATCTGCTCTGCAGTTGTGGTGCATTACACAAGCGTAGATCTTAATTTCTTGAAAGTATTAGCTGACTAGTAAAATTTGATCTGCAAATCCTGGAAAGGTAGTTGGCTTTATAAAGCATATTATACCGGTTTAGAAAAAGATATGTAGTTTAACTCAACCCAAAAAAAAAAAAACTAAGGTTATCATGAAGATCTCTAATCTCTTGATGGTCTACGGAGTAATTTCTGAGCAACCTGGTATCATGAGAGAACATCGAACAAAATGATTTGAATCGATGGATAGTTGAAGATCTTTAGAATAATGCCTGATCATCCTGAAGTCTTGAACAAATATCAAGAGGACTTCATGGAGATCTTAGAACACCTGAAGGTCGTTGGAATAATTTCTAAGCATCCTGGTATCAAATAAGAGAAATTTGAAACAGAGTTCCATTGGTGTTTGAAACCTGCTCATAAATAAAACAGAATAGTCAAATTGGTGCAAAATTGGTGTTCGAATAACGGAACTGTTACTCAGCATTGCGATGGGTGCGTTTCTGTTCTAGTTTCAAATTAGAACAGTCCATATAAAACACAACAGCATTCCCAAGTAACAATTCTGCAACCATTTGGCATACACTCTGATTTATGATGGTTTTATAATGGCAATGAATAATCCATTTAGTTTAAATATAGCATTTCACAGTGTAAAACGTTCCTGCTTAGTAGTTCACCTTTTCCCTGTTTTAAAAACCTTTCTCAGTCAGGCGAGAAGTCAAAAACTGTTTTGTGTTAAAAATTAAATTTAAAGTAGTTCTCAATCCCACCATAAAACTGTTCTATAAATCAATCAAAAACTTCATTAGCAATTTTTTATGTTTGTCTTGATAAAATACTCTATAAACCTGTTCTATCATTTTAAAAATAATCATAAAACCATTAGGTTTTAAATGAGAGCAAAAGGCATATATTGTTGCCTTTTAGACTTTTAAAAGTGTATCATAAAATCTCCTCTGTTTATAAATTGAACTTTAAGGATGGATGTGGATGGATCCTCATAGTGAATAAAAACCAAATTTATGTCAAGGATATCTCAAAAGATAAGCGAAGTTGAAAGAAAAATTCAAGCGATGCTAACGACCGAAGGGAAGTCGATTTCAGTACAATTTAGTTCTTTAGAAGAAACAGCACAGCCGACGGAACGGGTACCATCAACGACTTCAGCATCTGGTGGAGAAGAGTGAAGTGAGCGTGGTCCTCAAATCCATAAAACATTGTCAAAACGGTCTGAAAACAGACCAGTCTTCTCCAGACCTTGCGAATACATGAAGATCGGAATAACTTGCGTCAGCACCGACAGCAAACCACTGAAACTGTCAGTTAGCGGACACTAGTTGGTTTCCGATCCATAGCTGCGATTTTATTCGGCGAAAGGGTCATCACTTGGAAAACATTCATTCAACCGTACATTCTTGCATCGTTGGATGGTACACTTCCAGAACCATCCGGAAGAAGGGGATCTTTTCGGGAATGATCGAGGTTACAGCTGTGCTAAATGTTGTGAACACTTTCTGAGTAACTGCTTCCAAGCCATCGGGAGAGAATCGCCTGGAAGAACGCTGAATCGTACAGCGCAACTATCGAAAGATAAACAAACTTTGACGTTTAACATTTTGTAGGCAACATTGCCGCCATAAATGCTGCCATAAATTTGAACGGATTGAGATAAAACAAAATGGCTTTAGCTAATACAATACAGTCTACAAGTTTTCTTCATAAAAGCCAATTCAAAACCTCATGAATTCGTTAAGGATTTCTTGAAAGCAAAATAACTTTGACACAAATGGCCCATGAAAATCAATTTTTATGCCTCCGCCATAATACAATTATTTTGTTTGTTTTTTACAATCCTCGATTTTCAATCTATATTTCCTTGGATATAACTTTAATTTAGTTAATTTAGCAATGATAAATATTTAGAATGCAAAAATCATGAGAAACAAAAATCCCAGCTAAGCTTAATGATCGATCTGAAGAATATATTTAATTTTCTTAATGTAAAATAATTAGTAAAATCGATGTTTTCCGTGTGCGGTCTCAAATTTTTCGATGTTTTCTCGTATATTTCACATCAAATTTTATATGGCACCTAAAACTAGGCCACTTCATGAGTACTATTTTATAATTTTGGAAATTCTGCAGGATTTTTAAACGATCAATTTTTATTTTTATTTATGTTGATATTATCGGATGGTATTGATGAATCGTTTTTTTATCTTGATTGTTGTTTTTCTAGTGAATTTAGCAAGTGGCTAGGGTAAATGGCTCGGATGATGCTTTTAATTGTTGCCAAATAGCTTTTATTGTAGCTTAAATACGGTTTTTAAATGGATTTCAATGCGTTTATCGTACAACCATTTTGCAGTAAATTAATCTTGAAGAGCTTCGAAAATACACCTTTCAGAACCTTCTCCAGGGTGGGCCAACTAGACAGATTCTAGCATCAATGAGGTTTTGGTGGATACATCAATGGCAAAGCAGTCTTGATCAGAGTTTTATGAATGTTGTTTTATAGTAGCTTTGTAGTATTTCATAAAACTTAAAATGTTACTTGGGTTGCCTAAGTCACTATTTAGTCACTTATTCCATCATCACTAAAATCACCATTTTTGGCAGCATTGATCACTACCAGTCCTGCGGTTCTTAATCCTGACTACTTCAAGCTAGGGGAACAGGATTTTACTGTAACCAAAGGAACGCAGCCTAGTTCTTTTTTTTTCTGTTCTGTTCCATAGCGACCAGTAATTTGATCTATTGTAGTATATCCCGTTTCCTTAGTTTAGTGAATGTCATATTACTCCATCACTATTGAGAAATGATGAAGTATTCGGTTTTGATACAGTTGTCATTCTTGCCTTCATCGCAAGGAATCGATTTTAATTGAAAGGTCCCACTATTTATACCCTTTGGAGTGTTGAAACACCCTCCAAAGGCGTGCCTCTTTTTTTAGTCAAAATTTGATTCTTTAGCAACAAAATTTAGGAATGACACCGATAATGACCATGCATCAGAACCCTAGCCTTAAGCACTTAAAACTAAGGAACAACGAATATAAGATTAGGAGTCACATAGTTGAAGACTAACTTACTCATTTTTTCCTCATTTCAAGATCATCCTCGGTGGACAAAGCCGAGTCTTGTCACTATAAACAAGGCATGAAAAGTAACAAGGACTAAGATGTGTCTTGTAACTTTCTATGTGATTGATGTTAATTGTGATAAGTCTTCGAGTTTCCTGGGCCTGATTTTGAAACAAGTAAAAAAATGAGTTAGTTATTCTTCATCTATGTGATTCCTAATCTTCTATTCGTTGTTCCCTAGTTTGAAGTGGTTAATACTTGGGTTCTGATGCATGGTCATTTTCGAAGTCATTGTTTATTTTTTTTGCTAAGGAATCCAATTTTGACTGACAAAGGGGCGTGCCTTTGGAGGGTGCTCTCATTCTTCGAAGGGTATAAATAGCGGTGACCTTTCAATTAGAATCCTTGCAATGAAGGCACTGTATCAAAACCTAATACTAACCTACTTAACTAAGGACACTACAATAGATCAAATTACTGGTCGCGGTGGGCTTATGTCCCAAACAGAGGCAAAAATGCAGCAGATTTCATCTAGCATTACAGATTCAAACCGGACACACCTAATCACGAAATAAAACAAAACAAATTCATTGCCAAATAAGAAAGTTTGAGTCTGTCAATGTGCCCTGGGGCCAAATCGACCCCCAGGTTCAGACAAAGGGTTTTAGCTATTCAATGGAAGGCTTTCTAGTGTCAGTAAAGAACGTAATAATCGAAGAAGAAGCCAATTTGTCTGCAGTACTTCAGTAAGCAGAATAAGAAGCTCAAGAGCTACACCTTTCGAAGATTCTCCCGCTATTTACTGCCTACCAGTTGTTGATAGAGCAAACAGACAATCACTAGACCAAACAAACCTGAAGAGTTGACCGTATCGATTAGCCATACACATTCCCAAGATTGGTGTCACACGCAAACACTTCAACCCGATCCCGTTGAGTGCAAATAAATACTCAACTAACACCTCTCTTTTCCGTCTTCTTCTTTTTCTTCTTCCAGGTGCTAGAGTTCCTCGGCCGGGGCACGTTCGGGCAGGTGGTAAAATGCTGGAAGAAGGGCACAAGCGACATCGTCGCCATCAAGATCCTCAAGAACCACCCGTCGTACGCGCGGCAGGGTCAGATCGAGGTATCGATCCTGTCCCGGCTCAGCCAGGAGAATGCCGACGAGTTCAACTTTGTGCGGGCGCTGGAGTGCTTCCAGCACAAGAACCACACCTGCCTGGTGTTTGAGATGCTGGAGCAGAACCTGTACGACTTCCTGAAGCAGAACAAATTTTCGCCGCTGCCGCTCAAGTACATTCGACCGATCCTGCAGCAGGTAGGTGCTATCTTGCAATTTGCAATATTCGTGTTCCGAACAAAAAGGTTTCACTCCAAGTGCGGCTCTGCGCGATTTAATTCACTCACATCTACCGCCAATTTGAGCAAGATCAAAATGGAACGCATTGCAATTTACAAAAATACGCTGCGCGCGGTGCTGGTTCCAAGGGAACCAGGAACACGAAACAATTAAGGGTAATTTTGAGGCTTTTGAGATCTGTTGAAGGTCTTGCTCGTTCGTTCGCGAACGTCTGTGTGTCTTCTACCCACATTGCGTATTCCGGTTTGACTCAGACAAATTCGATGCTCAGAGAAGCGATGCCGCCGGTTGCTGTTGACCCTTTCTTCGACTCTGTTTATGAATGTGGCGTACTTTGAGATTCGCTCCCACTTAAATCGAGGTCACCAGACGACGTGAAAGTAGCAGTAACGCTGTGTCTCAGCGTAGTCTCAAGGAGTCTTTCGACCACGAATATGCACTGATTGGGGAGCAACATTGTTGTTATCGAATGTCGGTGATTATTGCCTTAATTTCGGAAGCCTTAAATGGCCGTGGCACAGTTTTCTGTTCAAACCTGTTTTCAAATTTTTTTACCAATTTTTACTTTGCTTGCCCTCAGCTGATATGGATGTAGCGAGGTAATCATTTTTTCCCCGGGATTTTCGGTGTCATCATTAGATAGTAATAGCTCGTGTGTCTGTGGGTGGGAGCAATCCACTTTGTGGCTGGATTCCTGACAGGTCCACTCCAAAAACACGCACAGTTAATGTAAAATTCATCAAGACACGACGGGGGGGTTGGGATCTGCGGTTGGACATAGATTACCCTTGTTATCTCTTGTTGCGCTCGTGAAGGATGAGGGATAGCTACGTTAGATGACAGGGGGCAACCATCGTGGCACGAAGAAGACGTATTGATTTTTCCCTGTGTGAAAGTGAAAGTTATCGTTCAGATCCCCCACTGAATCATGATGAGGTGAATTTGAACTCTAAACCAACCTTGTTCATCAATATCCGTTCGAAAAACGCCTTTGCACAAACGAAATCGACAACGGCTTTTTGTGTGTGATCATTATTCTTCGATTTTGCTACCACGGAAATATATCGGTTGAATATACGTGGGTCTGTTATTTCCTTTTCCCTACAGACGTTATTTTGCTGTTACTCGGAGCAGAATGGAATCAAAAAAAAATGTTGGCTTGTGCAAAAAAAATGCTATCGATCTTCTTTGTTATCGAATAATCGACTGGGATGTCACATCTGAAACGCAGAGCTCGAACAAAGGGAAGGCTTTTATATTCGTTTGATAATTCTACAGAAGTGTACGCCTCATGTGCTTAATCGTTTTGGGGCCCTTATTTACAGGCAGATTTTCTGCATAAAGAACGTTTTATTGGACTTAGTAATCGTTACTTTTTCATCAAAAAAAGCGCTGCTGGGAAAATTCACGCCAAATAGCAAAAAAAAAAAACGATTTTCAGATTTTACCTCTCGGCAATAAACCAAGTTTGTGCTGGAAAGCAAACATTTTGAGGTCTTTCCACTGCTGCAAATTTCACGTTGATGGAATGTACCGTTGATTTGTAAAAAAATCGTTAACTAAAATCATTATATCCTGTAAATTTCCGGAACCGGAAGTCAGATCGGCAATTTTTTTTCCCAAGTAGATATGGATGAAATCTTTCTACTGTTAAAAAAATCATGGTGATAAAGCGTACCGTTGATTTTTAAAAAATCGTTAACTAAAATCATTCTGCCCTATATATCTCCGAAACCGGAAGTCAAATCGAGAAAAAAATCAATAGCGATCAATGGGGCCTTTCAAACGAGATATCAACCATAATGATCGGATGAGCCATCTCGAAAAAAGCTTGCCTAGATGAAACGCGTCCACATACGCACATACAGACATCAGCAAATTTCATCTTGCCGGGTCGATTTTTCATATTCAATTTGATTCTACGATGTCGTAATCAAACTGTCGAGCCAGATCGCGCCGAGTTCTATCGATTAAGAATGTTTTATACAGGTGAGATAGCTTGTGTGGATGGCTATCGGGCGCAGACGAAAAGACGTGTGAAAATCGATTCTAATACCTATGTGAAATTTAAAAATACCAACAAAATGTTTAAGTTGAGCACTTGGCACTGATAAAGTCTATAGTAGTTGAAACAAAATAAACATAGGGTTACGGTATGTAATGTGGGTCTAGTCCTTTCATTCGGCCTATCACGCAAATAAATAATTAATTAAGGAATATTACACAAAAAATAAGGAAAATAATGATCACTGATGGTTGATTAATGTGTACCACACACAAATCAATTTATATCACAACATTTCAATACATTTCCAGCTCTCGTAAGTAATAAAACTGGTTGAGAATATCACAATGTTCGGAGTTTTTAGCCGCCATGACTTATAAGGTTAAGATGGGAAGGTTGACTGACGATCATCAAATGGCCTGATTATGGCATTTATTGATTGGAATTACCTGATAATACACACTAGACGTAAAACTTACAGTTGCTGTTTGAATATTTTATGTTTATTTTAATTGTTTAACAACGTTTTCACAAGTAAAACATGGACCCAACTTTAGGGACACATTTCTTTTCTATGTTCCTAACTATGGCCCATGAAATTCATTTGACAGCATATAGCAATAAGAGTAACGTCAACAATGTTGTTTTGCATTTGGATGATAAGGAACGAACAGGAAGGGAGATTTTTTCTGCCAAACCTGTATAATGAACATCACAATGTTCTGATTTAGATATTCTGCGGTCAAAAGACGATAAGCGAAATTTTTAATTTTTAATTTTTAAATTGAGTGATTTAATGTAGTTTTCGTAAAATTTTCTCTAAGAAATGTTTTGAGGAATGAAGAGCATTAAGTTAACAGTGATAGTGATAAAAAAAATACATCAGAAAACGTTACCAAGAGCGTTTTTTTGAGGATCAAACAAGATAGGACGAAGTTGCATCCATAAATAGACCCAATTTGGGGACAATAGACCCATATTACATACATTTCCCTCGTGAGTTATTGTCTTAAAAAAAGTAAGTTTTTCAACTTTTCGTGGTTTCTGATAGCAAACGACATGATAAGCATATCTAAGCATACCATTTAGCAGTAGAATATCGTTTGCAGGTAAATTCATTGATGAGTTATGATTAAAAACGTCATCGATGGCTGCATATTAGACCGAGGTTAGGGACGTATACCCTATCTGTTAAAAAATTGAAAATTTTAACCAGGGTGACCAGTGAACCGCAAAACTTTAGAACACCAGGAAAACTATTGGGAAATACCTTCAATTTCGATTAAAAATCGGGGAAAATATGTCTCCTTTCCCAGAAAATAAATTGTAAACCTTGGAAACTTTCCAAAGGTATTTGTCTGCGATAACTTTTCAAAAAACTGGCAACACGTCTCAACCGTCGGTATTCGGTTTTTGTTTACGTCTTGAACTTTTCATTCGTAGTTAATGTTTTTCGAGATAATAATTACTCGTTAAGTGTTTTTTTCGTGCATCGAAGGGTTATCCGTTCACTACCGGTGATCCCAATTCGTCCCTCGACCTGTATTACGCTCATGTGAACGCAGTGCAGCTAATTTCGGAAAACTCGACAACAGCTGATGTGATTCTGACACTAGGAGACTACAATCTTCCAAGTTTACGGTGGCAATCAGACGATGACGTGAACGGCTTTATCCCGTCAAACGTTTCCTCAGAAATAGAACGTTGCCTCACAGAAAATATGCCTCTGGTTTGCGTCAGGTCAACGATGTTGTGAATACTAATGGCAGACTCCTCGATCTTGTGTTTGTCAATCTACCGGAGTACTTTGACCTCATTGTACCCTCAACTCCACTTTTACCAATTGACGACCATCACGCACCATTTATCTTGCTTCTTGACGAAAGCTGTAATGGCACAATCACAACGGACGATGGGGATGTGAGATTCAACTTTAATTTTCAGTCGTGTGATTTTGGTCGTTTGGATGACGTGCTCTCAAACATCGAATGGGATGCTCTACTGTGACGGGAATCATTGGACGAGTCTGTATCAGCTTTCTATGATAAACTTTACGAAGTTCTTAGTGACCAAGTACCTCAAAAGAGACAACGAGCATCTTCAGTCTACAACAAGCCATGGTGGACCTCTGAACTACGTCATCTACGAAACGTCCTCAGGAAAGCACGCAGCCGTTTCTTTCTGATGAAGTCCGATAGTGAGCGAAATAACCTTCAGGAAGTGGAAACAACGTACAAGGCACTTCTTTTTTCCACGTATGAAAGTTACATGGCTAAGATTCAATCAGATGTCAAGCAAATGTTTCTGGAATTTTGTCAGAAGCCAAAAATCGACTACTCGCATTCCAACTAACGTTAAATACGACGAAACCATCGCTAGCTCTAATTCGGAAGCAGCAAGCCTATTCGCCAAGTTCTTGGAGAGTGTATTTAGCAAATCATCGCCTGTTCCTCGCTTCAACCGCTTTGCCCATATTGCTTCACCAGACATAATCTACCCGACGTTCAGTTTTCCGTTGTCGAAGTGGTGAAAGCCATTGAAGAACTCGACGTTGATAAAGGACCTGGAATGGACGGTATACCACCCTTGCTGCTGAAGAATTGCTCCACCGCACTTGCATCTCCCATAACATCTCTATTCAACCGTTCGCTGCATGACAGGATGTTCCCAGTGGCTTGGAAATCAGCTTCTATCATTCCAATCTACAAATCCGGCAACTGTAATCGAGTCACGAACTATCGAGGTGTTTCTGTCTTGTGTTGCTTGAGCAAAATTTTCGAAAAACTGGTGCATAACGTTCTGTATAACGCCGTATCTTCATTAATCTCCGGCAGCCAACAATGGTTTCATGAAACAACGCTCCACGACTACAAATCTGATGTGTTACGTCAACACCTTGTCTCGCGAAGTTGAACATGGACAACAAGTTGATTGGATTTATATAGATTTCGCC